CAGACTGACCACCCTTCTGTGAGGTGCGTTGCCATCCCAGATGAATAACAGATTTCAGAGAAGGCAAGTGGTGATGTGTAGCCGTGGTCCCCCAATGTCTCCTAAATGAAGTTTAAGACGGTATCAGAAGTAGAGACAATAAAAGGAAGCATTCACACATTCTTCCCATTGCATTGAAAGAAACAGCAAGGAAACCAAGAAAAAACAGCAGTTACATGCTCTCCATACCATAACTGGCCATAAAAATTCTAGGGATAAAAAAGAACTTTTCTTCAGTTTCCAAGTTAAGGTAGGAAACATAAGGCCAGATTACTTTTGCTGCTATGACTTGATAGGCATGTCTTCTCACTTCTCAAGTAAAGCAATTAATTTGTATACGTTATCAATTTTTAAATTATAATTATGTACATGGCATTAATATGTTTTCATTTAATTGCAATGCAGGTTTTAATTTTGATATTTTCAGTAGTACATTGTTCAGATAAATGTTGCTTGCCATTGACCAAAATACATCAGCTTAAAATAACTTCTAAAGCAAGCAGTTGGCCTAGTGCTCGAGTTTCCTTCCATATGTCATGAAAATAGGCAATTGTATGGAAAGCATTAGTAATGTCTTCTCAGAAGAGTAGCAGGATTGCTCGCTGAAAATTTAGCTTTAAATTCATGTGCATTAACTTCATTGTGCTGTGATGAAGAACCTGGTATGGTTGGTGAATGGTATGACCCCAACCACATTAATCTGGTACTCATACTTTAAGGGGTATAGACAGTACAGGAGCAATGTTTTTATTTTAAACAAGAAATAAAAAGAATCTTTGAAATTATTGCTGACAAATATATGTTGAGTGAAGTAGGCAATTAGGTGAACTGTCACTAATTGTAAAGCATCACCATGATATAACGCAAAGCTACAATACAGCCATGACTATTTTTAAAGCAGAGAGGAAATAGGATGTTGACTGGATATAAACTGATTAAGAAGCCGTCTTGGAATTGGTTGTTCCGGCCATCCATGTTGTCCTATCATGAAAGGAGGTGAGTTCAGTAATGGTTTAACTACAATTAAATCCCTCCCCTTTCTTTATGGAAACTCAACTGTAGACATTTCAACATTAGCCTAAACAATGGTTTTGAATATGTTAAGCCCCTAACAATTAGGGAGCAGTTTGGGGCATTGAATAATGTGGAATGATGCAATTGAACCTGACAGCTTCAACAGTCAGCCTACTCATGGGACCCGAAAGTTGTTCACACTTGGTTTCATCTCTCATCACACGCTGAGTATTAAAACCTTACTGGTGTGGAGCTGATGCAGAAATGAGGCCTGTTATCAGAAAATATTTCATAGCATAAAACTTGAAAGGAACAGGGGAATAGGCATGCTCAAAGGTTCTCAAATTTTTGAGACCTAATCTAATTGCATACAGCTAAGTATTGTATCATTTTTCTCCCCTTTGGTTTTTGTTGGTGGGGTTTTTTTTGGAGTTTTTTTTTTTGCTTAAAGAACATGTAACTTGAAATTAAGAAACTGTTTTCCCTGGAAATTTAAGTAAATATCCAGTTATGAATGCAAATAGTTGTCAACTTGGGAAACTTTATAGTCACACTGTTACAGTAAAATACAATTTTGGATTGCTGCAAACAAATATAAAACTCTTTTAAATATTTCAGAGGATATGTATATATGCAAGTTAAATTTAGTTAACTTGCAAGTTTCATTCTTCTAATTAAAGAATATACTTGCACTTTCTTGCTGTAGGGAGCATCAATCAAATATCAATCATTTATTCTTATTGCACTTGGGCATTCCGTGAATTACAGTGTATCTTCCTTCAGTGCTGCTCTGCTGCTTATTGCTTTACTGATTTATTGAACATGCCATAAATGAAAGCAGGGTATTCCATATCTCTAAATGGGCTGAAATCCTTCTGCTAAAATCTTTTCAGGAAAATTTGCTGCCTTTTCAAAATAAATACTTAGCAGTCTATTTTATTAGTTCAGACGTTTTGATCATGTATTGTGTTGACTATTTAAATAGAATCAGCTGAAATAAAGAATCCTACAGCTTTAAAAGTTCTACGTTTTAGAACGTGTTTCAGTCCTGTGACCTTAATATGTATTGACAGGATGATTGCGCATTTTTAATAAATGCTAGCTACAGCTTGTTTCGACTGTGAGTGAAACATGAAGCTTCTATTTCACCTTTAAATAATGTAGCACTCCTCCACCTCCTCTACTTTCCTGTCAGATGAAGTCGTCACATACATAATAAAGCTTCGCGAATTGTTACTCTTGTCATTTTACCTTGCCATTTAAAAAAAAGTATTTTCAAAGTTATTTACCTCCAGCTTACTTGAACAATTTTATTAATGTGACTTTTTCGTTTGAGAGTTGCTTAGGATACATGATGGCACTAGAACTTTTGTAGTTGCAACTTGTTGTAGGACAACTTTACTATTATTTTAAAGTATAAACAGGGGTTAATTTTAGGGTGAACCACCACTTGTGAAAAAAACTCAAGTTCTTAGATATTCTTTAAATCATGCTAAGTCTTTTGATCTGTTGTATCAACCCACTTAGCAAACATTGTTTAATTCCTTTGATGTCTTTTGTTTTGTGATGTGATGGTTACTCAGCAGACTTTAGCAACTCCTTTCAAGATACTTAGATACTTTAGAAGGTTCTTAAAGCTCTTTGGGCATTTCAGTCAAATAAACATGTATTCGCCTTGCCGATTAGAGCTGCCCTTCCGTCATAAATGAATATATAGTTGCTATTGCACAGTTTTAAGCAGCCTTGCAGTGAGGCTTACACAGAGTACGAATAAGTGTAGCAGCTTCTGTTTAAAATGTGAGCAGTACACTTACTAGAATTGAGAACTATTTTATAGAAATATTCAAAAACTAAACAGAAATAAGACCTGGTGTTTGTAGTTAAAAAACCAAAAAGGCACAAACTGTATTAGTAGAATTCGTAACCTCAACCAGTTTATTTAAATAAAGTATATATATTTTATTTTGCTAGTCTTGTCTCTTAGATATGGAAGCAAAATGGTTGAATCTTCTAATATTCCATTCTGTAAGGTTTCTTCAGTGAAAGGATTTGACAGAAAACTACATTGTTTTTGCAGTTAGTTTTGGTTTTGAGAGGAAAACAGCTGAAGGTTGCTAAATAGTTGAGTTGGAATCATGCTATGGGTGCTTATTAAGGAATATAGCAGGAGCTGTGTGGTATTGCTGCCGTCATCAGTAAGTGTTACAGTACTAATACGTACTGTACTTCTGGAAGCTGTTCTATCTGGGTAGGTAGAAATGCCTGTAGTATTTTTAAGACTTACAACTAATTCACATTAATTCTACAAAAGACATGCAATTCTTTTAAAAAGGGAACTAACAGTCACATTTGGAGTGAAACTGTAGTTTTTGCAATCTTGTGCATGTACCTTTAAACTGAGAAGTGAAAAAACCCTGATCATTGTAAATAATCACTTGTGGCTTTTTCTAACTTTGTGACAGTAGAAGAATGTAAGTATCAGGCACAATTTCTCACCAGTATATAGTAAATAAAGCATCATTGAAAACAGTTGTGTGAATTCATAAAAGTCCATTCATCAAGTTTAATATGTTGGCTGAAAGCCAAAACTTAATGGTAGTGTGTGATTCTTTCCAGAGACATAGTTTATACTCTGTAATATTTTGCTGTAATAACCAGTATGTTTCCCCTGTCTCTTGTGTGCAGTTATACATGTCAAAATGTCCCACAAATTGAGTTCCTTACTGTTCACCTTCTTTTTTCGTTCCCCCCAAAAAAGTAAAGGTTGTTTACATTTTCTTAAAAGATTTATTTTAAGACCAGTGATAACACCAGTTGTGTATCTTTGATTTCCCCCTCCGCAAGTATTGCAATCTTTGCTTTGTTCTGAAGTAATTTTTTTAATCAGGTAGGAAAATGCCTTTTTAATAAGGCAGCGCCTTTTTTTTCTTTGATTGCCTGTCTCTGCGACTTGGCATTTGACACAAATCTTTTCTTCGAAAGGGAAAAAGCATAAGCAGCCAAGGAAGAAGGTATTTTTATTGCGTTGGATTATGCAAGATTTTGGCCAGCCTCCTTAGCTTCATCTGTTTAAGGGTTCATTTTCGCTTGTTTGGCACAAGTCCCAGCAGAGACCTTCAGAATTGTGGTTAGCAACATGAATGAACACAAACTTTGGGAGCTCTTCAATAAGTAGAGCTGGCCAACTGCCAAAAATACAGTTCCTTATATGGGGTCAGGGCAAAGCTGTGATTCCCCGAGCCCCCTATTGTATAGAAAACATACTTGTAATGGCTGTTTGCGTTCTTTAAAATAAAAACAAAACAAAACAAAAAAACACCAGGCTTCCAAGTCTATCAAAATAGGAAGTAACAAAATAGTGTGCAGGTTTTACTAATGACGGAGTAGAGCAAAGGAAATATGGCTCTGTGTAGTTGAACTATAGAGCTGAAAGTTGGACCTTTTGACCTCCACAGCCGGCTTGTGATGTAAGGAACCCAGGCATTTGTGAGACATCTGTTGTCTACCTGCCCTTATTTTGTAAATGGTTTAATAAGATTAAATAATTAGTAGCATAACCACATGGTCCTAGCATTGAGCGCATACTTCAGGATTGCGGGGAAGTCTACCCATCCTGCTACACTGGGGTGGTTTTAAAAATGCAATTTAGGTATTTTTTAATATTTACTGCAGTAATTTTTTTATTGGAAGGATTTTTTTTTATTAACAGACCTTGCCAATAACAAGTAAATCATGCTTTAAGACCTGATATATTTTCAGAGTACTGCAATTCTATTTCTGTACTCACAAATGGAAATGAATATTTTTGATTTTAAATAGATGCAGTTTTTAGAAAACATTCAACTTTTTTAAAAAATTGTGCATTATAAATATATTGTTTAAAATGTATTTAGCATTTCTCCCTCTTTTTAAAAGGAGGGATTCAAGTATTAATTGGTTTCTTGCAGGCAAACACCCTACCTGGATCATCTCTCAGTCTGCCTCCATCCCACATGTACGGCAATAGGCTGAATCCAAATTCGGCAATGGCAGCACTTATAGCTCAGGCTGACAACAGCCAAGCAGGTAAGCTTCCCGCTGCTGGTGACAAAGGTGCAACTTTTCAGACTTCAGTGGTCTGAAAAAGATTGTGAAGATTTTATTTTTGAGCTCTGCTCAGTGTCTGTATGAAGTTGTGATGTGTTGGAAGGGAATTCTCGGTTGTCCTGCAGAACAACGC